GTATTAAATTAACAATCATATGTACGTACTAGCTATTGAGGAAGACAGAGAGGGAAATCAACCGATCATCATCCCTTTGAAAGCCTTCATCTTCTCTTGCATTTCAATATTTATGGCTTCTCTCATCTACGCTATCTTTGTTTTGCGCTAATGTGGTAGCATAACCCCCATATCTCGTTCTCCTTCCTATTTCGTTCTCTTAATTTCTCCTTTTTGTTGTCAAGCCTACAAATATTAAACACACGTAGACAATGAGTAAACAAACATCGTGTAGGGTTGTGATAACTCATAATATGTTTATATGGGTTGTAAAACGAGAACAAACATACCTAATCAGCAAATTTCAATGAGCATAAGATCTACTAGAAACTTCTACTTAGAATCCTTCAGCACATTAAAGCCATGAAACCTCCTTTTTTCCTTCCTCCCACACTCTGCTCTCATAGTCGTGCGCTGATAGGTGGATATTGAGCAACAACATCCAACCCGTACTTCTGACTCATAACTTGATGAATACAAACACATACAAAAAAAAAAAAGTACATACACACATTGCACATGAATGTGTGTATACATTTATTATATTCATGTACATCTACAAGATAAAGAGGCTTTAGTGACGGATTTTTCAACCAGAAATTACCAATGGATTTTGTGGCGGATCATCGTTAGATAGACCATCACTGATGGATTACCGAATAATCCGTCAGTGATGGCTTTTTCCGACTTAATAATCCGTCGGTGAAGTCATTATTTATGTATATGTATCCGTATATATAGGTAGCTAGTGCATGTATCTCTATCTATGCATGTACATGTAGTGTATATTGTAAATGTGAATGTATACACTATTAATATATAATATACATGACTATACACTATATATATACATTATATGTCGGTTAAGAGTTTATTTATTTATATTTATTTTATTTCACATTATTGACAAACTTCAAAAGAACATTTAAAAAATTAAATATAAAAAAGGTTGTAGCTAATCCATCGATAATAATTTAACATTTACCAACAATATATTGGCAATTGTCAAAAAAATCAGATCGCACTCACTAATTTGTTGATAATGTATAACATTAACCAATATAACACCAACGAACTACTTACAAAAAAAAAAAAAAAAAAAATTTACCGACAGATCATCCGTTGTCGTTAATCTTTCGTTATTATATCGACATTTCAATCATCTATTTGAAGTTGTAGGTAAGAGATGTTCAAAGTTATCAAAAATTTCTCGACAAGAAGTAAAAGATGACTTTCGTCCATTAATCGTTCATCTTGTAGTGGATGATATTGGGATTAATCGATTTCAATTAACGCGATTAAATTCAAACTTTAGGTGGCGTTTAGTGAATTACATTTTGGTCTAATGAGCTTAATGTGTTACAATTACATTGCAGATTGTTGAGTTCAATGAAAAAAATATCCTTTTTGCATAAACCTTTTAGAAAGAAAGATTAAATGCAGGAGATCCCACATGCATAATAAATGGGTTGAAGGCTTAAGAACTTAAAACCCTCCTCCAAATTGGAATGAGTACGATTTAAATTCCTCATAAATCAACAAGCCACTTGAAGTGCGTGAATTTCATTTAATTTCATAAAAGGGGTTCAAAAGTGCCTTCTCCAAAATATATATACATAAACTCCACCATTCATCGACTCATTTGATTATAAAAAACCATGTTTTTGAATCCAAGAAATTGATTGAAGTTATTATATATGGAGCCCTATAAATGTGTTAACTAACTCTTTTTTAAGTATGTATAATATCTTATAAACGACAAGTACTCATGCATATTCCTCATCTTCGGTTTGACTTGAATCATTGACTTCATAGAGAGCTATACCAATAACCTCGACACCGTTGGACTAATGTTCCTTTGATGAATCAGGTTTATTTTATCAATTGGGTTCTCGATTATCAAAAAGGAAATCAATATTCATCCTCTCCATTTGTTCTCTTTGATATTAGAATTGAAGGAACTCCCAAGAAAAAATAGCGAAGAAACATTGGAGTTTCAAAATGTGTTTGGCATATAGATGAGATTGGACATGTGCAAATAAACTGGACATGTAGGAGTGAGGTGTACTAGTAAATGAATTGTGGAAGTTATTAGGGTTTTGGTTTAACATACATTAGTAATGTATCAAAAAAGAAAAAAAAATTCTTATTTCCCTGATTTTTGTTCCACTTATTTTCGTGGGACCAAAAAATGCATTTTTATGCATATCTATCCCAGTCTAATGTAGCATCAATCGTTGGATAACAAGTTTTTGTTTTGCTATATTCCTACCCTTATTTTGTACAATCTTTTTGGATCAAGAAGAAAGCAAGGAAGTAAAAAAAAAAAAAAACTCAATAAAAAATAAAGGCTAAAGGTATGGTTTTTGTATAATCAAAACCTTTGCTTTGATGTGGTTTAGTAGCATGTGACGTACGGATTTAGTCAAATATGAGGGCTTAAGGCCATAGTATTTGGAAAATTAGCAATAAGTATGAAGTGTGATGAATTAGAAAGACATGATAATGTTTAAGCATGTTAATAAGTAGAAAAACATGTTGGTATTGCTGTTTAGCAAGAAAGACAACACCTTTTGGTGTTTAGATGGTCAAAATCAACCAAAACGTGTGTGTAAGAGTTGAACAAGTCGACTCCTTGCATTGTAAATGACTTTGGAGGCCAATTTCTTGAACTCGCACCAAAGATTGCTTAAACAATGGGCACAAGTCAGCTAGGTCATAGTTAGCACGTGAGTTTGCACAAGCCATGTGAAGACCAAAGTGAGGTCAAAGCATTCACACAAGCTCATAACGCAAAGTTAGGCAAGCGAACCCACCTTGAGCTCACATTCAGTCAGTGTGAGGTTGAGAGAAACCTCTACACTACATATAAGACAACACATACCTTTTTATTGGTTATGGCATACTTCAGATCAATATGTTAGCAATATAATTGTGGGATTAATGTTCAAGCATTATGTTTAGACACTTAGTGTATATGTCATGTGTCCGTTGACATAGATAACGGTATTAGTCAATATCATCTTAATTTCATATTATTCTACATGATTTGGGGAGTCTTCATGTGATTTATAAAACATGATACATGTATAGCTGATGTTTTTACCGAATGATTTGCATTTTATGCGTTATATGTTTTTAAATTGTATTACCATGCTAAAAGTATTTTGATATAACAACTATTAGGCACTAAAGTAGTTCTTTAGTGTGTGTGTGTAGGAACATAGATCTATATGTAAGTTAAGTTCTAAAAATGGATGAAAGCCCTACTTTCAATGAAGACCAATATACCTCACTATATAGGGCCTCTGTGTTGTGTCAGGTATCGACGCTTTCTTCACCGTATACATTAGTTATAGAGGTCTTAATTTAGAAAATGTAGTATTTATGTATCTATGTGTATATGTGTTTCAACAATGTTACAATAATTGCAGAACATGTTTAATTTACTAATGTATGTTTTACATGCATAGTTTCAGTATGATTTCAATTGCTATCCATTTTTATTATGAAAAACATAAATTTACTGACCTTATTAGCTAATTAGTATCATGTATCTCAGGACAAGGCAGGACTAGTACTAACAAGGAAAAAAAGGTCGAGATGAGTACTTGGCAAAGGCTAGCAATCCAAGTGTTTTTAGTTGTTTAGACTATTATCTTACCTCAGTATGAGACAAACTAGAGATGTTTTGACATTTTGTATTAAGCTATTAACTATATTTCCAGTTCAATTTTAGTTTGTAATGACTTTCACAGTTTATGTTTTGTTGTCAATTTTACATGTTATAAGAATAGTGAAAGCATGTCGCCCCCCACCCCCACCCCCAATGTAAAGGTGTGGTAATTAACTTGGTTCTTATGGATGTTTTCAAGATGTTCAAGCTTGAACCTTCATCAATCAATAAGACTTACAGAGCTATTGAAGTGAGTTTCAACTTGGTCTAACATCATAACATTAAGCTCAAGCTTGTTTTGACTCATTTATAATAATTAATGTACATTATATTGTGAAAATAGATGTACATATATTGCATTAAGGCAATTCTGATGGCGTATATAAGAGGCCCAAGAAAAAAGAATGGCATAAAATGAAGGTCTTGACCAACAGTAGATCAAAGGCTGCAAAGTCGTCCAATGTGTTTTAATTGAATTCCACCATTTCTAGGGTTTTTTTTGTTGATTTCGAGGGAGTCATTTTTGGTTTTTTAGTTGATATTTCTTGTATATTCTAATATCCAAAAGTATCCTTCAAAGTTTAACCGAAAAAATTCTACTCACACAAATAAATTATGAACGGGTACACTAGACTCCACTTAGGGCTTAATAGGTCCGCCCTTGTTGGCCAATATAGAGACACAAAATTATATAAATTGTGCTAACCAATTAAAAGGTATTAATTAAGTAGCATACAAATTTAATATCCAACTAAGGAATGCATTCCTTCACTGATTTAACACTACATTGTAGTTCTGACTGATTTATTGAATATAATCAGATATATTATCCCGTCATAACTTAAGTAAAAAAATTGATCTTCTTTATATTATGGTACGTAATATTCTGTAATTCTGACCTCAGAGATAAACCATGCTAGATTGGAATATCTTTTAAAACCGATATTCATTAAATTAATTAAGCATTGTTATTAGTTATCAAGGTAACTTTTCAAGTTTATATTATTTAAGATACCTCACAAATAGGAAATCCAAGGGTTAGGAAGATCATGATCCAAGAGAGAGAAGATGATGTAGATAGAGAAGTCACTGTCGATGATCAAATATCTATTAATATTTCTGATTTTGGCATTTCTCTTTTCTCGATCTTGGCAAGCTTCCAGAAAGAACCATCTTTCTTGCTCTCCCTGAATCTTTTCCAAATCAATCTAGCCTGTCTTTTTGTTTGAATCCACTGCAAACCACCTGTATCCTTTTCTTTTGTTCACTTCTACTATCGATCAAAATGGTGGGTGATCAGTCTACTTCTTTACCTGAGTTTTTCGACAGTGCTACTTCTGCCGAGCAGTTTGGTGAAACCAAATTCTTGTCGGCCGGAGTGGCGTCTCCTGACGACATCTTCAGTATTCTTGAGGCGTTAGAGGGTGTTTCTGATGAATTCACGGCCTTGACACCTTTGGATGATCATGGTGTCGAAGAGGGTGCTGTGCATAATCATTTACTATCCCAAAAGTCAACTTCTTTGAGTGCTGTAGAAGAACTCGTGGAGGCGGAGCTTGAGGCGTTTTCACCTAAAAATAAGAGACATAAGGTGTCGTCGTCAGTGGAAGAAGGCTGTGAAAACTCAGATGGACAGTTGAAGATGTCACATGTGACCGTGGAGAGGAACCGGAGGAAGCAGATGAACGAGCACTTAACCGTTCTTCGGTCACTCATGCCTTGCTTCTATGTCAAAAGGGTATTATACTCCACTCTTCGTTTGGCACTTTTTCTCAGAATATCCAACTTTTGTCTTCCAACCGTTGATACACAACCAAGAAACTAAAACTGTTCTATCGAACCCAATTAAAACAGACCCATTTGAAATTTACGATTATATATTCAGCCAAGAGTTAGTGGATGACGATGATATATGTGTTTGCAAACTGTAGGGTGATCAAGCATCAATAATTGGAGGGGTAGTTGATTACATTACTGAATTGCAACAAGTGCTTCAGTCTCTAGAGGCGAAGAAGCAAAGAAAAGTTTACAGTGATGTCTTGAGCCCAAGGCTTATTTCAAGCCCCAGAACCCTACCTCTGAGCCCTCGAAAACCGCCTTTGAGTCCGAGGCCAAGCTTGCCAATAAGCCCCAGAACCCCACAGTCAGCAAGCCCCTATAGGCACAGATTACCTTCTTACTTACTATCTCCATCATCCATGGCTAATACCACACCAGCTTCACCTTGTAACTCTTCCTCAAATTCTGACACCATTAACGAACTTGTTGCAAATTCAAAGTCATGTATTGCTGATGTTGAGGTGAAGTTCTCAGGCTCTAATCTTCTTCTAAAGACTCTCTCACCTCGGTTACCAGGCCAAGCAACAAAGATAATCTCGGTTCTTGAAGACCTATCTCTTGAAATCCTACAGGCTACAATCAACACTATTGATGAAACACTCGTCAACTCCTTTACCATCAAGGTGACACAATCTTTAAACCTTATATAATTATTCTACTGAAAACCCCCTTTTTATTTTCATGTACTGCATGCATGCTTACATATATACATATCTCTTTTATTAATCTTTTTTCAGGTAATTAGAAACTTAACCATCTTTTGTTGGTTCTTTTTTTAAGTGAGAGTTAGAGAGAAGGGAAGGTGTAATTACTATTCATGAGACGAGTTCAATTATAAATCAAACAAAACGAACTTGGTATAAAGGTTAAGGTTGAGCTAGGAGGTACATAGATCAATCTATAATACTTGGGGTGCCAAGTATGATAACTTCAAACAAAGTGATTAACTAGCTGTGCATCATTCGTTTAACATCTTTCTGTGCTTGCAAAACTATAGCTTTTTGTTGGTATTTTGATAAGAACAACTGTGAATCTCCAACAAAAAGCAAAATACAGTCGATTCTGAGGGTTAAACGGTCAAAAAAGATAACGGGAGGGAGGAATGAACGTATTTACTGCGTTAAGAAAAAGACAAGATCAATTGTTTATGTGGCAGGTGTACCGTTCACTTGTTTGTTTGTTTGACACTTATGGTAGTAAAAGCTTTATGGAACACTTCTGCTCGCTTAGCTTCGTTGGTTCATTTTGTTTTTTTTACCTCTCACACCTACATACAGAAATGACAAACCAAATAAGGTACAAAGGGGCAATAAAGGAGGTTCAGTAAGGTAGATTTGGGAGATGAAAAAGGTAGCAGATAGGGCACAGGTAATAAATCAAGAAATCAGGTCAGAGAAGAATTGTTTAGCCTCAAATTTTCAGACCAAAACTTAACATACAAAGTTGCCACAATCCATCTGATTATTAACCTACTATCACTCATGAACATCAAGCTAATATACTCATCTGTGATTCCGTACAATGAAATGATACCCCACTATTGCAACATAAATCACGGATCCGGCTCACTAATACTTCTGTAACATGGCAGAAATTACGGGTACCAAGATCCCTGATTTTGAATTAAATTTTGCGCTACAAACACCATGATTTTGGTGGACATGCTTTATGATTTTGTATTACCAATGAAGCGTTAACTCATAATCATAGTTTTGTTTGAAAGTATATCTTCATTAAAATTTCACAACTTCCAAGAAAAAGCCAGTAGGTGGCCAATTTAGAGTACTAGTAACAACAGGTTGGTTCAGATTTCAGAGAAGGTACTCCATCTTTGTTTGTAATCGAATATTAAATAAGCCAATTAAAGCTATTAAGTTTTGTCCTGCTTGTATCAGTCTTGGAAGTTAGAACCAAAAGCTGCTGCTCCAAACTCCAATTAACAAGACCTAGTCTTAATAAACCTAATAATTTATTAAGACTAAAATAAAAAAATATCTTATTTAAAAATGTTGTAATAAATTTTTTATAACAATTTTAATACAAAGTGTCATATTAGCTATTTTATAGGAGATTTTTTTAAAAATGCGTCTTATCCCTATCTTTTTATGAGAACTTGTGTTTAAATGACACTTTTTCAAATAGTTTCCTATAAAATATCTAATATGATGTTTTTTATGAAAGTATCCTAACAAACTTGTTACAACACCCAAAAGTATCATATAAACTGATTATAACGTTTGTAAATATGACAGTTTATTTTTTTTTGTTGATAAATTATGTCTTATAAAGTAATCTATTATGGCTTTTACTTATTGTTGGCGTCCTATAAACCCAATTTTGTTATAGTGTGTAAATCATTTTGAACTTTTTTAGAAAAGTTTCCGATCAAAACCAAGTATATAAATTGTTTTGTTTATGAGGATGTAATATTGTTGTAGCCATCGATATACTCAACAGATTGAATTGTGATCTTTTTGTTTTTGGTAGATTGGAATTGAATGCAAACTAAGTGCAGAGGACCTCGCCCAACACATTCAGCACACTTTTTGCTAGTATGTTTTTCGCTTCAGGTCGCAGCAGACGGTTTTGTTGCTTTGAGATCATACCTGATACATTGTGTATTATGTGTAATGTATTGTGCATGATGTCTATTGGAGCAAAAGGCGGTTGAAACAGGTGAGATAAAAGAGGTTTCGAACCCTAACTACATATATCTCGATCTATTTAAATTAATAAAAGATCTGAGTGAGATTTTATATCACATAATCAATTAGTTAATTATCAATTGATCAATGTAACTGTCAACTGGATAATTAAGTTACGAACTGTCTTTCTTGTTTGATTAGTTTAACATATGTATTGATTATTCTCAAAGTTTTAATATAATCTTTAGTTGCATATTGATGTCAGCATTTATTCTTATGTTGTTAGGCATATATGGTTTGCTTTACGTTTTACGAAATCCATTTTCGTGCATTATTGGCCTATAAGAGATCGAGGCTACATCTGCTTTGATGGTTCATTTTGTTTACTATATGGGTCTGATTCTAAAGAAATAGAAAAACTTTTATGTCTGGATTGAGTTAGGTTTGTCTTCATGAATTCATATTTCACCATTGATAAAAGTAGGATTGTTTTCATATCGTTAAATTCTTACATGTGTGTATATATGATGGTAATTATGGTGAGAATAGTAAGGTAGGGTTTGAAGAATTAATTGTTGAATCATAGAAAGATAGATTAGTCGGGAGGCTGTAACAAATTTTGTAGATATTTAAAATATTTCATTCATTTAATAAAATATTGTTTTTTCTTTAAATATTTATTTTCAAAGTTTTCTATTAATTGTCTTATTTGGTAATCATTTTTTTTTTGGTGTTCTCCATATTTAGAGAAAAACCCTTCTCTCTCATACTTTCTCCGTTTTGAAGATAGTTATGGGGAATTGTTAGAGCAAATTATTGCCTCAAAATCCCTATTTTCTTCATCTTCTCATTTTGAAGAAACTTTTGAAGATGCTCTTAAAACTTATTCTTATATATATATATATTAACCGTCTTATATCCTCATATTAACTTGACACCGTTAAATCACAATTTGCCACGCGTCATAATGATGCAAAATGAGAGACGATTAACCCTTTCATCAACATTTCAACTTTAGCTAGCAGTGAAGTAGTTGTAGGAACACCTAGATTTTTGGACAAAATCATGTCCTGATAATAAACTGCAAATTATTCTTGATATGCTTTTAGGAAAACTGGATTCTATAATTCACAACAATATAAGCAGCTCAAATATTATCACGTCACAATGTTGATGGACCAAGTAGGGAAAGACCTAGTTCAATGTTTGCGGTGGCATGTGTCATCGTTTCATTCCTCTGTTGTAGTGTAAAAAAACTTGGTTCGTGAAAGGTACAACCATATCGATTTGTTATGTGACATCATATATATTTTAAAACAACAATAAGGACATAAGTTTTCCTTGGTAGAGTTGGTTTGCAAGCCTTTTCTTCCGCTCAAACCCGAGTTTCAATCCCGATAGTATCATTTTCTTAGGTTTTAGCTTTTAATTTCGGATTTGTTATGTTTCTGAATTTTTTTTTTTTCAATAAAATACTTAAATACAAGTACTCATATATGAAAGTAATGAACTAACTAACAGACGAATTATGACGTTGTGAAACATATCCTGATATTTGTTTCTTATAGACAAATGATGTCACCCAGTGGCGGATCTAGAAACTATTATGGTTGGGGGCACACTTAGGAGGGTYGAAAAAATTTCGAAACCGAACAATTCGTCCGAACCAAAAAAGGTTTCGGGTTTCCATTTTCAGGTTTAAACTGTTCGGTTAACCGAATAAAGATAACTAATGCGGTTGAAATAAGCTAGGCATTGACTCTACAAATGCATTGATGTGGTGGAGAGTGACTTCTAAGGCTTATGTTTTAATCTTTTAGTACTCTTCTAAGGCCTACAAAACTAACCTAACATTTGACATTAACATTTGATTTGCCTAATTGCCTACAAAATTACCTACAAAATTAACCAACAAAATTAACCTAAAGCATTTACCAATTACCACAAAATTAACCAACAAAATTAACCTAAAATACCTAACCTAAAGCATTTACCAATTACCACAAAATTAACCTAAAGCATTTACCAATTACCACAAAATTAACCAACAAAATTAACCTAAAATACCTAACCTAAAGCATTTACCAATTATCAATTACCACAAAATTAACCTAAAATACTACACATTGAAGTTGGAAATTAGAATCTTTACCCAAGAGGCCAAGAGAAGAGGCCAGACCAAGAAAGAAGTCTCAAGTCGCACACGGCAGTGCGGCACAACACTCAGCACTCAGCACAGTCGGCTCGGCAGACGGCAGCAGCCAGCAGCACTGCAGCAGCAGCCAGCAGCACACGGTGTCCGGTCCGACCGTCAGGTGACTCACACAGGCGGCACAACAGTCAGCAGGTGAGGTCGCAGGCTCGCAACGATGAAGTCATGAAGAAGAACAGAAGAAGTGAGGTCAGGTCGGCGGTCGCACCGTCGCAGACTCGCAGCGGCAGCCTCGCAGGCGTGTATGCGGTAGCCGCCTAGCCGGTATGTCTTCAGTCCCTTCACAATCACATTTCACTGACTCTCGTTTCCACTTTCCTGTACTGAAGAGGGGCTTCCTACCTCATCTTGTTGGGGGTCCAATTACACCTAATCTCAAAATACAAGTAATTTTTTTTGGGCTTTCATATAACATTTTTGTTGGGGCCCAGGACCCCAACGCCCTTGTACTGCGTCCGCCACTGATGTCATCATTTGAAAAAAATTCAGGATCCGTCCCTAGGACCAAGAAGACCAATCCACAACTCTCCAATTAAATAAATAATCTATCGTATCCCAGTAACTTCATCATGGACCACCCACTCTGCCTCAGTACTGAATCAAACCACTGTATGCTACTTCTTGAAGAAAACCACAATATCAACCGGTAGATTGCTTATTATCCCGATAGCTAGCCTAGTCTACATCTGCATAAGCATGCTATAACAATAGGAGAAAATGTTGGATCGAAAGACTACGAGCACTAGTACAACATAAGTGGTACAATATATGCTTCAGGGCTACCCAATCTTTCCCCTAAAGTCGAGGACCACAAACTCATGTTTTGAAGTATTTGATCATATAAAAATTTATTGTAAATTAATACAATTCATTGTAAAAAAATCTGAAATTTATATTTGAAGTTCTTATCGCCAAGATCACACTCAAAAGGTGTTTTGTAGGATGGTGTAACAATGCTAACCATTACCTTAAAATTACTGTAGATAGAACATGGAGAGAAGGGGAACATGTTAAAAATACTACGAATACATTGTTTAACCATGGAGAAGGAGAGCAATCTAAATCCTCTTTTTATTGTGGCCTTAAAAAAGATCCCTTTTATGTGATTTGTAGGTGCCCAATTCATAGTAGTTACATTTTTCATGATCCCAATATAATAAGGTAATGAAACATCTTTTAATGTAGTTAGTTTATTTGCCTATCTGAAAATAAAGATACAAACAATCCCACTCAACCAAAGCCAATATATATCTCATAAATACGATTACAAATGATGGGGAAATCTTTCTTATATAGACAAAAAAATATGCCATTTCATATATATAAAGGTCCATTTTAATATCGTTACTAAATGTTGCATGACAAATATTATAAAATACCTAGAATCAATAGCTTCTTAAAATACATATTAACTTGAAGAGTTTACTAAAACCTAGACAAAGATGAGGCAAACAAATAAGTTCTTTTCCCTTGCAATGATCAAATACAAATCAAATCTTAACATGGTGCCTTCTAAATCAAGAAACATGGCCCGGTCATTGCTTGAGCTCAAATTAATACTCCATAAATACATACAATAAAATAGACGCTATAAATCTTAGTCAAAAGTTGAGCTTTGTAAGATGAAATATATGCAGACCTGACCTCTACCAGGATAGAACGGTTGTTTTTGTAGAGACCCCCAACTTATGAAGAAAGTGTACACAAGTAGGTCATAGGACATGGTACATTAAGATGAACAACTGATCTTGACAAAGAATCATGAAACATGACTATGGCATCCATGCAAGATCGTGTGCCTTAAGGTTTCAGCTTTTCCTCCCACCAACTTCTCTCTGTCATCCTAAGAACGTAGCCTCCTCAATGATATTTTAATAAAATGGTAATGACATGGTGGAACTTGTACACATGCAAGATAAAGGTGTATTAGGGTTGTAGATGGACCAAAGCCAGATCAAATGTGGTCATTTTCAATTCAACGAGAACTGAACAATAAATGGTAATATGTTTTCCCGTATTACCTTCTTCTCATGAAACCTTGCCATATTGCCATTGACATTTATAAGCACACAGCAAGGTTATTGAAAAGTCTTGTAAACAGTCGTAAAATTAAAAATACGCTTCAAGTATCTCAATGAGGGATCACTACAAAAAAAAATGACCTTTAGACAAGGTATTGTTTTGTACTTAAAAGTCTTAAAAGCTTCTCTAAAGCTTTTAGATAAGCTTTTCAATTTTGTCAAAGAGCTTCTCTGTGTAACGGTAGGTGAAGGTTTTAGAGAGAGTTTTCGGAGGGTGCGTTTTTTTTAGCCTTTAGAGACGCTTATTTAAGGCTTTAGATACACGTCCAAAACTTCTTTAAAGATTAGTCAACTTTTTATTCAAAGCTTCTCTAAAAGTATATATATTAGTGACGCTTTTAAAGTATTTGTGACGGTTTATAAAAGTTACTAAAAAATACTTTTAGAGAAGGTAATGGAAAAGTTTCTCTAAAGATATTGGCTTTAGTGACACTTTGCACAAATCTTCTCTAAAAGTCCTCGTTAGTTACTCTTACAAAATCTTCTCTAAATATGATATTTAGATACACAAACTCAAAATCTTCTCTAAAAATTATCTTTAGTTACACTTTTAAAAAATCAAATCTTTCTCTAATATATATATATATATATATATATATAATAAAATTTAACTAA